GGACTAGGGTGAGGGCCAGTGAAAGGGATGACTGGATAAACTGATACTGGGGTTGGCGAGAGGGTCTGGGAGAAGGACAGGCTGGAGGCACAAGAAGCAGAAGGGGGCAGGCTTGGGGAAAACAGGGGCAGAAGCGTCTAACCACTGAGGTTCGCTCCCCTGAGTAGAACTCAGGATTCTTCTGCCTGCAAAGAGGAGTGAATCTCACTGGCAAAATGTGTGCCTCAACTCCCTCTAGTGGCTGACCCACAGAGGATGACAACCTACTACCGCTGTCACTTTGTTTATATAGCACTGTTTTTATATGTGCACTGAATAAGGTGGGGGTCCTGTGTTTAAAAATAGTACCTGTTATGTATTTAAGGACTATGTCATAATGCATATGAGCAAACGGGCAGGATTAAGGAAACCTTAATAACTGTTAAATGAATGTTTGACTTTTCAACTTTAATGTTCTTTTTTAATGTTTTAAAAATATAATTATATGAATAATCTCTGATCAACTGTCTAGCCAGTGTAAGTGGGCAATTTACCATAGACTTCATGGCAGAACTGAGTCTTGAAAAGGGATTTGAAGGAGGATGGGAAATTGGCTCTTTGGATTCATTTGTGGTGGGCATCTGCTACATGAAGAACAGCATGGAAGGAACTGTAAAGTTGTTTGTGGAAGAAATAGACCAATGGGTGATAGTCTGGCATCATTAATGTATTTTTCCATTTCAACTTATAGCCTAGCTATTTTTTTAAAATCAAGGTTTCCAACTATTTTACCCAGCTTTTTTTTTTTCTCTCTCCCCTCCACACATAGTCAGGCCCACATCCATAAAGGGACTTAAGTGGGGAAACCCATGTTCAAATCCCTTCTCCTCAGAAAGAGGGGGAATTGAACTGGGCTATCCCACAGCCTGGTGAGTTCTGTAAACAGTGGACTAAAGGCTATATGGGAGGCTGCCTGCCTCCCTCCCTTCTGGTCATTTGTGATGTTTATACATTCTCTGAGAGTACTTTCTGGATCAAGCCCCAGAGGTGAGAAAGGAAGGATAACACCTAATTTCAGGATCTGATGGGACTTAGCTCTGAAATAAATGCTTGGACACCTAGACTGAGGTGTTCTACACATGACCAATAGCAGAAATAGGGGAATTTTTTAGCAAAAAATATAGATACTGAGGAATTTTAGGTGCCTCCACAGTGTCATCTGAGCACAGATTTTGAGGATCTCAGTGACATCTATGTTTTGGACTTGGATTCCTGAAATGGGAGTTAGGCACTTTAAATCCTTTTCTGGATTTGGGCCTCAGTACTTAAAAGGGTCTCATCTTGTAGCTCCACTCAAGCACCCATTTAAAATCAATAGGAAGGTTCAGGGAGAGAGGCTTCCAGCCAGGCTGTGGTATAATGGGATTATGTGATGTATGGTTATAATAACAGAGAACAACATTTTGAGTTATATGCACATTAAACCATAGAATCATAGAATATCAGGGTTGGAAGGGACCTCAGGAGGTTATCTACTCCAACCCGCTGCTCAAAGCAGGACCAATCCCCAACTAAATCTTCCCAGCCAGGGATTTGTCAAGCCTGACCTTAAAAACTTCTAAGGAAGGAGATTCCACCACCTCCCCTAGGCACCTGTGTGAACCAAGAATGTACACTTTGTGCATATTGTTCATTTTGATAAGTAAGATTTTAATCTTAAGTAATACAGCTCCCCTGAAATTTAGTTATACCCTAATGTATTCAGATGACCTTATTGAGGGGAAATTTTCCATTTTAAATTAATGGTGTTTTGACAATGAAAGGTATACAGGATTCTAGCCCACACTGAGTTGCCCCTGGGAAGAATTAAAATATACTATAGTCACCACTGTTTTTTCAAAACCATTTCATTAAATGGGAAGCCTCCCTTTTTTAGTTTGCAGCTGAAACTTGATAGGCTGGCCAGATAGAGGCTAATATAAATACATTAGGCATTTATTATGTAAACTATTTACCCATATAAATAAAAGCTTGTGTAGTGAAAGGTTTATGCTGGCCCAGTAAAGCTACCACCTTCCCTACACTGATTATGTACATATACATAATAGGTTTTGCAGCTATAATCTGCAAAATCTTAGAAAAAACATACAACTACCCCAGAGCGGAAATTAAAAGGTGAAGATTACTGTAGTGGCTTGAGGTTTACACCTGCCAAGGCTATCTAAAATGAATCCTCCAGCAGAAACTGATTTGTGGCTAGCTTCCACATATACTTTTCCCTCTAACAGCTTCAATTTTTCTAAACCTGTTTGTAAAGAAACAATAAAATAAGTAGTATGTGACATTAACCTGATCACAGAATTCCTGAAATGAAAACCCTACCATAAGGTAGCCCATAGTAGCTGAGGGATACTATGACTGTCACTTCAGTGCTGTTAATTTCCAAAATCCAGCTATTCTGAACAGTGTTCTGGCTAAAATGAACACATGCCATTCTATATTTGTTCTGTGCCTTCCCTCTGAAAGCTCCTTGGGAGCAGGGACCTGTTACTTTTTTCTCACACTTCCCAGCATCCACACCAGGTGCTATGTAAACAATAATATTGTGATGGTACTCTCAAACAGTTGCACAGATCAAGAAGCTAGGGGATCTTTAAAGCAACCAACACCTGTATGGCAACACAAAGAATACATCTAGCAAGGGGGAGAATATGGAAGCTTAGCGTTGTAAAAATGTGACACAGCACATTTTCCCAAAACAGCAAAATCAGCTATTTTGTGTCTACTTATACCTTAACCTTTTGTAAATAATTATAGCTTGAAACTTAGCCATACGGATGGCTGCATTGCCCTGCAGGAGATGCGGCCAATCTGCTTATAAACAACCGTATTACAGTATGTTTCCAAGCCCTCCCTTTTCAATTGCGCTACATGTTGCTTGTCTCAGAAAGCAAGACTCTGCACATCTGCATGATGGAAGTTGATCCTCAGCTGCCTCTCAAATATACCGCAGATGAGGAGGTTCTTTTTGACTGGGGAGAGCGAGCGAGCAGAGAGGGCGAGTGTAACCAATTTATTAAGAGTAACAACTGCCGTCTTGATTTTTGCCTCTAGTAAGGCAAGAAACAGAAAAACCTAGGGAGGATCAAGCGAACAGTCTCCTTGCCAATCTTGTTTCCTCCGTATTCCTTAATACAAGTAGCCCGCTGCTGTGTCCTCCTCACCCAGCAGGATTGTAAACTACATAAAGTCAGGCAAAATGGATGGATTGATGTGCGAATCCCATCGGCCAAGATTATTTCACACTCTTCGTGTGTATGGAGCTGGAGCTGACAGACTGCATATTTAACTCTCTATGGCAGATACTTTCCTGCTCCAGGTTACACAGCAGAGGATCCACAGGACAATTGGAAATATGAAAGGGGAAAAGAGGATCTTTGATAACTCCAGGCTGGTTTGCTGTAAAATCAAGTTTTCTTGTCATCCACCTTTTGGGCTTAACAGCTGTGCGATTCAAGGGTGTACTGAAGGTAACAGAGATCTGCTTTACAAAAAGATAAGGTATTTTTTTAAAGGAGCCAAGTATGTATATCACGCAGCAGCACCTGATCATCTATTTACCCCCAACGTGTGCAGCCATTTAAGGACAATTAACTCTGCACGATCACGCATTAGTCATTACACTACAGAGGTTGCGTTAAAGCCTCCCCAGAAAATCTGGGAGGCAACTGATTTGGGGCAGTAGCCACCCACGTTCTTTTGAAGGGCTGCTTGCAAAACCGAAGTGCAAAATCAATCTTCAGGGAGCATTTTAGAAGCACCAGCAAATTTGCATCGGTTGGAGACATGGCGTTTACATTTAATTAATATTAATGAATGACTTCCCCCACACACACTCCACCCTGCCAAGCCGAACCTCAGGGTGTTTAGTTATTGCCTCTCTATCTGCTTTCCCTCAAAGCAGGGGGGTGAACACTTTTTTTTCTTTGCAGATGGAATGAGCTTGAGGTACGGAGAACTGGGGCTTTTGCTTTTTGCATTCGGTCTATCCCTCCCCGCCCCCGCCTTTGGCAGTCTGGAAAAGAGAGTTGGGGGTTTTCTATCTGATCCTGGCTATGCTGTGGTCAGGACCTTCCCTCTCTTGCAGTCTGTTCAGCTCCCTCTTCCTCGCCCCAAGCCCAGAGGGAGGGAGGAGGAGGTGATACACGCTCTCTTTCCGTGCCTCAGCTTCGCTGCTGCGGCAGCAGGTGCTGGGGAGCCGGCGCAGCAGGCGTGGGAGCAGCAGGACCAGGGGTGGGAACACCCCCATCCTTTCTCACTTGGGGCAAACACAGCGGTTCTTTCTCTTTCCCATTGCCCCCCTCGCCTCCTCCTTTGTTCCCTCCTCCATTTCCTCCTGCGCCGGTGTCTTGAGGGTGCCAGGGAGGAGGCAACGGGTGCAGACTGGAGGTCCCTGTGGAGAAGGAGCCGGCGTTGCGGACTTAACCTAGGGCTGCTGCGGTGGGAGCTTGCCGCTGCTGGCAGGACCAGGAGCGGGGGAGGAGACTGCAGTTCCTCTCCCCCCCACCCCCTTGCATTTTCATTTCTCTTTCTTTCCGCCTTCCTGAGTCGTCCTCTTCTCCTCTAGATTTTCCCCTTCTCTCTCTCTACCCCCTTTTCCCCAGTATTCCTCTGCCATCTGTGTTTGGGCTGAGAGCTGGCTGGGGAGGACGCTGGGGAGGGGGGATGAAAGACTTCCCTGCCTGTCTGTGGATTGATTGGAAGAGGCGATCGTATCTGCAGCCGAAGGATTAACCGCTAAACTTTTATTGCTGCCTGCCTCTGTGTGTGTGTGTGTGTAAGTAAATGGGGGAAGGCTCAGCTCAAAGAGGGAAAGTGTCTTGTTTCCTTTTGACAGATGCAGTTGGTGGGGGTAAGGAACAATGAACATTTTCTTTAGGACATAAAGTGAAGGAGGAAAAACCCTTCCCCCCCCCCCATTCAACAATCTACAGCAACCCCCCCCCCCCCCCGCCGTGGAATAAATGGAAGAATCTCCGGGATTTTCTTCTGCTCTTCGCTCTGGACTGTAGGAGTGAGGGGATCTCTCTCTACGTACATCCATCTCTCTATATCTCCATCCATCGCCGGGAGGATTTGAGCCGGTGCAATGTGCTTTCAGCCGCTTGCCGCTGCTGCTTGACACTATGCAACACGCAGAGAGAGGGTTTTGCAAAAATGGATTTGTTCGATTTTAAAGGATTTCTTCTCTAATAAGGATTGCAGTGCCCACAAATATGACTAAATCTCCTGTTTGGTAAATCTTCCTGCCCCCTCCCCTTTGGGCTCCCTCCCTCCACCCCACCCCTTCAGAGGACCAAGCCCAGGGAGCCGATGACGGACCTATTAATCCTTCCTTCAATGCATCAAAAGAACCCAAAGGTCTGGGAAACGTTGGTCTTGAAATCCTATAGGAAATGCTTCGACCGGCTTTTGGTTTTGTATGAAACTGGTGATTAGGGGGGGAGGGTTGTGCGAGCGACCCCCCTACTCGTTGCCCCGGCCTCTTTCCTGGCCCCCTTTTGATGTGCTCTTTGCCAGGTGCTTGTCCTCCGGTCTCTTTCTCTCTGGCCCGTCGCCGCCAGTTATGCAGACTCCCTGTCGTACTCAGCGGCTGCTGCTTTTGATATGATTCAAAGATGAGGGTGGTGATGATGATGATCGCTCTGGTGTGATGGGGTTGAGACGGCGGTGATTGTTTGAAGGCGAGGAGGAGGGAGAGGAAGGGCTGCTGCTACCCTTCGCTGAGTGTGTGGGCTTCAGTTTTCCTACTCCATCCTCTCCCCACCACTGGAAGTCCTCCCGTATCTAAATGGAATTAGTGGAGATCGAAGCCCCTTGCGTAAGGAACAGACATGATCCATGGGCGCAGTTTGTTTCACAGTAAGTATCTTTCCTGAAGCCGCTCTGCTTCGCAGGGCAGCTATTTTTCCTTCTTCCAGGTGGAGACGGTTAATACTGGGGGGCTCACAGCTTCAAGGCGCGGGTTTAAACTTTCTCCCTCCCCCCCCCCCATGCAGTATAATTGCAAGAGGTGCACGAAACGACGTAGATATAGCCTGGCGTTTGCAGTGACACATGCACTTGTTTGTTGAGTTTGTGGTGATGATAGGGAGGACTGAGTATACCTGTAATTAGAGAGAGAGAGAGAGAGTAGCTTTCAAAGTAACCAGTGGGGGTGCAAACTAGCAGCTAAAGGGTGCTGCAGGGACTGATCGGTATACCATCTCCTTGCTTGTGGGATTCTAACCCACACGGGTTAACTCTGAGGCTTGGGTTTGAACCCTCAAATGACAGACCCGAGGGATCTTCAGACACGGAGCTAAATTCTGCTCTTCTCCTAAATCACACCGATATAAATCCAGAATAGCTCCATTGATGGCCTCTTTCAGAGGAACAGCCCTGTTAGTCTGTATTCGCAAAAAGAAAAGGAGGACTTGTGGCACCTTAGAGACTACCCAATTTATTTGAGCATGAGCTTTCGTGAGCTACAGCCCACTTCATCGGATGCATTCGTGGGCATTACTCCGGATTATCGCCGGTGTCACGGAGATCTACGTTTGGCCCATGGTAATCAAAATCATTTAACACAATGTGGTGGATTAAAGGATAGAGTTTCAGTCACAACTCGGAATTTACTTTTTTTTCCCCATCAGACCCTTGCATGGGATTTTCAGTGTTGGGGGCGGTCTGTTCTGGATGCTAGTATGTGTTCTCTATTGATTTGAAGTGATCAATGGGAAGGAATCAAAAGCCCTGGTGGCTTGGTCTTGGTTATGAAGCTACTCTAACGCTGCGGCGTTCTCCATCCACAACGCGCTAAGCTTTAGCAGCAGTTCATGTTACTCTTGTAGAGCACAGTTACGTGAATGCTGTGAGTTGCGCATTGACAATGGTTCGCATTCCGTAATAATCACCTGTCCAAACAGGAATAGTAAGGAGCGCCAGGAGATGTACTCGCTAAACCTGACGTGTGTAAAACAAACAAAAGCCTCAGGACCGAGGCCATTTGAAACACGAGTTCTTGTGTGAAAATATCAATGGGGTCTATTGCACGGTATGAATATGGGTGGTCCGGAAATTGTCATTTTCTACCCCCTCCCCAAGAAAAGAGAAGGTGTGAAGGGTTGGTAGTTTAAACTACTCTGAAAGAATATCCTTTAAAGATACAGCTAGCTTGTAAAATAGCAATATTTTTTAGAACTTGTTTTCAAAATTCTTTACTGGGTTAGCCCTTACATGTCAAGTTACATTCTTAAGCAACTGTTATGGCCAAATGATAACTCTTCAAATATGGATGTGTAATAGAAATATGCACAAGTCCATAATCAGAGGAGCACTAATAAGCCTAATTACAATTCGGCTAGATGATGAGGACTGGGGGGAGGAGGGGAGATCAACAAGAAATTAGGTGGGATCCTGCTTTAAAAAAATCCCTAAACCTCCATGGTTGCTGATATTGGTGTCTTCCTTTCAGCAAAGCTCCCTGACTAGCAGTTTTGTCTGAGTAAAGATAGCAGGATCAGGCTCTTCTTTTGGCTTTTTTTAAATATGGGAAAGATTGTATTTGTCCTATAATAAGAGGGGAGGAAAAGGGGAAGGCATCAGGTTTTACAGTTGATTTAATATGCAAAATATTGTGTTTGTAATCCAGTAAATGTAACCCATTGGCAGATAAGCATATTCATCTTGAGAAATTTCTCCACTGGTTAACATTTATCTGCTTGACAGAAATATATTATCGAGTCTTTGCCTTGAAATTTAAGGGGTAAATTTCCATAATTCTTTAAGCACTGAAGAAAGAAGTGGGATTTTGTGGCAATATAAGTATTTTTTATGCTTTAAAGCCCCCAATTCAAATTACTCTATTAAAAGTAAAGGGAACAAGTATTTCACTTGAACAGTACAGCTGTGTTGGATACAGTATATGAGGATTAAGCAGAGTCTCCTTAAGCTTTTCTTGTTTCTTTATTATATTTTATTCCAAGATTATTTTTTACTGTTTATGATCAATACCATCATGCCAAGTTGTAAGCATAGCTCTCCATTTTGCAGCAATGTAGGTAATTTAATTAAAAAGCATTGTTTCTAGTGGTTAGAACTGAAAGCTGGGTTTAAGTGACCTGGATTCTCCTCTCATCTTTGCTGAAATGTCACTGGGACCCTTCACCTGGCTTCTCTGTGCCTCAGTTCCTAAATCTGTAGAGTGGGGATTTTAATATTTAAAAGTGTGTTGAGGGCCTCCAATGAAAGGTGCTATATAAGGATAAGGTTGTGTTTGTTAATTATCTAATAATCAGTGTCTTCTGAGAGAGCTAAAAGGCTTACTAGATTGGGAGCTGGGGTGGAAGATCATAATCCCTCTCCATTGACTCATCAGTGATTCCCATTCTCTTTGCAGAGCACAGATCTTTGAAATGCTATGTTATTCACATTTAAAAAATGCACAGCTCCAGAGTCTCAGAATATATACACTTAGAATTAAAACAGTAATAAATAAATAACTTACAAACTGTCCCAGCAGAAAAAGACATTTACACACATGCCATTCAACCCTCACTGTCAGGCAATACTTGGTCTTCACCCCAGGAAAGCCAGGGGAAACAGGAACACCCTGTAGCGTGATCTGGAGTTCACCAAATCTAGGTTCTGGCAGATAGAGGGAGGGAAATTTTAAGGAGTTGGTCCCCCTCACATGAATGCCCTGCTAGCAGATTCCTCCCATTTTATCCATAGAGCTACTAGCTTGAGTACCTCAGATTGAAATTGCCATGGATTCATGAGGATAGAAAGAGAGAGCCTCTGCAGTTAGCTTCATATTGTAAGTCTAAACCAGCATCTTACACTATCCATAAATTAGCTGGCAACCAATGGAAATCATAGGCACAATTGCAATGTGCTTCCTGCATGGAACACAGCTTTCGTGAATGAGCAGCTGCATTCCACACTAGTTTCAGATTCTGAGATGAGACTACATGTTCAAATATGTACAACATGTTGCAATAAGGCCATGGATGACTGGAGAGATCCATATCTGAAAAAAGCTGCAATTTTCTTGCTAAGTGTAAATTTAAGAATGCTTTACACCATTTGCAACTTCTACTTGCATATCCAGTAGCAGCTGGGGATCCAACAAGACAGCTGGACTGGAAAAGTAATGGTGGATATGCTCCCAGTGCATTGTTTTTTCATCACTTCAGTCTTTCTTTGAGATTAAACTTTGCCACAAACCTCTGCAAGGCTCGGGTCGGAAGACCTAGAAATACAGATTTGGGTGTTATCAGGGTACTGAAAGCACCACAGACTATATTTTCTCTCCAACTGTCCTAATGGTTTCATTTACACATTGAGCACAAAAAGTGAAAAAACAGAAAACAGTGTGGAACTCTGTATGAAAGAGTTATTGATGTAGATGGCAATTTCCCAGTGCTATCAGGACAAAAAGGAAGGAAACTATTCAAAGGCAACCCTATTTAGGTTTGCTGTGATCCGTGAATATATCAGCACATTCTCATGGTCAGCAGTATCAATGGCAGCTGGTAGATCTAAAATAATCAAGATTGAGTATCCATCCTGATTAATAACTGGAAAAAGAACCTGTGCAGTCTTTATATGATGCCCAGGCTGAAAAAAGTGAAGAAGGAGAATCTGCGGAACTACAAACCAGTCGGCTTCACCTCAGTCCCTGGAAAAATCATGGAGAAGGTCCTCAAGGAATCCATTTTGAAGCACTTGGAGGAAAGGAAGGTGATCGGGAACAGTCAACGTGGATTCACCAAGCGCAAGTCATGCCTTACAACCTGATTGCCTTCTAGGATGAGATAACTGGCTCTATGGATATGGGGAAAGCGGTAGATGTAATATATCTTGACTTCAGCAAAGCTTTTGATACAGTCTCCCACAGTATTCTTGCCAGTAAGTTAAAGAAGTATGGAATGGATGAATGGACTATAACGTGGATAGAAAGCTTGCTAGATCTTCGGAATCAATGGGTAGTGATCAATGGCTTGATATCTAATTGGCAGCCATTATCAAGTGGAGAGCCCTAGGGGTCTGTCCTGGGGCTGATTTTGTTCAACATCTTCATTAATGATCTGGATGATGGGATGGATTGTACGCTCAGCAAGTTCACAGATGACACTAAGCTGCGGGGAGAGGTAGATATGCTGGAGTGTAGGGACAGGGTCCAGAGCGACCTACACAAAGTGAAAGATTGGGCTAAAAGAAATCTAATGATGTTCAACAAGGACAAGTGCAGAGTCCTGCACTTAGGATGGAAGAATCCCATCCAGTGCTACAGGTTGGGGACCGACTAGCTAAGTGGCAGTTCTGCAGAAACGGACCTGGGGATTACGGTTAGACAAGAAGGCTAACGACATATTGGGCTGCATTAGTAGGAGCATTGCCAGCAGATTGAGGGAAGTGATTATTCTCCTCTATTCAGCACTGGTGAGGCCGTATCTGAAGTATTGCATCCAGTTTTGCCGCCCCCACCCCTCCCCACACACACACAAAGGATGTGGACAAATTGGAGAGAGTCCAGCAGAGGGCAACAAAATGATTAGGGGGATGGGGCACATGACTTATGAGGAGAGGCTGAGGGAACTGGGCTTTTTAGTCTGTAGAAGAGAACAGTGAGGGGGGATTTGATAGCAGCCTTCAACTATCTGAAGGGGGGTTCCAAAGAGGCTGTTCAGTGGTGTCAGATGGCAGAACAAGGAGGAATGGTCTCAAGTTGCAGTGGGGGAGGTCTAGGTTGAAAATTAGGAAAAACTATTTCACTAGGAAGGTGGGGAAGCACTGGAATGGGTTATTTAGGGAAGTGGTGGAATCTCCATCCTTAGAGGTTTTTAAGGCCCGGCTTGACAAAGCCCTGACTGGGATGATTTAATTGGGGTTTGAGCTTTGAGCAGCTGGTTGGACTAGAAGACCTCCTGAGGTCTCTTCCAACCCAATCTTCTATGATTCTATGAATACCAAATGGACTAGGGCGGAAAAGACCTGATCAAAACAAGTACTGCTGGAGCTGTTCTCTACTCTCTTGTTGAGTCACATTCCCCTGCACATGATCCAAGACAAGGTGATAACTGTAGAAACTGTCAACATCAAGAGATGATTTCTTGAGCAAAGGTCTAACAACCACCTTTAAAGAAACTGTCCCCTTGCTTTTCTGAAAAGAGAGAGTGTTTCTGATAATAGCCACAGTATCTCCTTGCTAGTCTTCCCCAGTCTAAAGTGCCATGGATTTAACTCCCAGGCTGCAAATTCCAGAAACTCAGGAAGCATCAGCAGCTTGAACTGAAGCAAAGAAAGACTTCATTGGTTCTCACCACATTTGATCCGCTGCTATGGGTGCAGATATTTTGGTCCAGATTCAGCTAATTTTATCTGCAAAAGAAGTTGTGAATTCCTCACAGCAAGAAACAATTGCCTAATGTAAGAAAGTTCAAATAAACCAGATCTACCACCCCTCCCCACAGAACAGTTCCTGTAAGTGGGACTTTGCAGTTGCTTTTGGTTGTGATGTGAAAAAAAAGATTTCTCCTTCTTGCACAACCACATTAGTTTTCAAAAGTTCTTTATGCATGGCTAGCCTTAGGGAAAATGGTGCCCTGGGAGACCTTGCCTTTTGGTGTCCCCGGGCCCTGCTACCTCCCCATTGCCTTGATCTCCCTTCCATGGTCTCGCACTCCAGGCCTGCACCATTCCTTGCCTCTTGACCATGGTGCCCTGGGCAGTCACTCATATCGCCCACCGTATGGCCAAACCTGTCTTTATGCCACAACAAAGCAGATTTGAAATAAGACTTGTGCCACCAATACTTTATAGCAATCTTTCTGCTCACTGTGTTTGTAGCAGTCACTTGACTTTTTATTGATGCCAAATCATGAACATACAAAAAAAATAAATATTGGCAGCCCAGTGTCTTATTTTAATATTGAAAAGGGGGGTGGGGAGTGAAGGAGGGTGAACCCGGTTGCAGATAGACATATTTTTAAAAGAATGTTATAATGCCACCACAAAACAGTCTGTTGTTGTACTGTGGATATCTTTAAATTGTATTATATTGAGATAGGTTGTTACAGTTGCTTTAATTACGGGCACTAACCTCATGTTGTACCTAATGTATTTTTGTCTTTCAGTTGTAGCAAGTCTAATCATCCTACACCTGTCTGGGGCAACAAAAAAAGGAACAGGTATGTTATTTATGGGGTATAGTCTCAATTTCTGGACACCTGTTTAGATATTTAAATATTTCATAATGTACTCGTATGTATTTTTTGCATCAATAAAGTGAACTGATGAAAATTCAAATATAACTTATTTTATAAATTTGCAGATAGCATTAGATGATCCAGTGCCTGATCTTGCAATGGGAGGTTATTCTGAGTAAGGACGAGCGTTGTCGATTAATCACAGTTAACTCACGCGATTAACTCAAAAAAATGAATAGCAATTAAAATTGTTTTTCTACATTTTCAAATATATTGATTTCAGTTACAACATCGAATACAAAGTGTACCAGTACTCACTTTATATTATCAGAGGGGTATCCATGTTAGTTTGTAGCCACAAAAAACAATGAAGAGTCCAATAAATGGACACAAATCAGACATCAGGAATGGTAACATACAAAAGCCAGTAGGACAACACTTCAGTCTCCCTGGACATTCAATAATAGAGTTAAAAGTAGCCACCCTTCAACAAAAAAACTTTAAAAAACAGACTTCAAAGAGAAACTACAGAGCTACAATTCATTTGCAAACTTAACACCTTTAATTTGGGCTTGAATAGGGACTGTGAGTGGCTGGCTCACTACAAAAGCAATTTTGTCTCTTGCTATTGACACCTCCTCATCAATTATTGGGAGTGGACCACCTCCATCCTGACTGAATTTGCCTTGTCAACACTGGTTCTTCACTTGTAAGGTAACTCCCTTCTCTTCTTGTGCCAGTACATTTATGCCTGTATCTGTAATTTTCACTCCATGCTTCGGAAGAAGTGGGTTTCATACCCAGAGAAGCTTATGCCCAAATAAATCTGTTAGTTTTTAAGGTGCCACATTATATTATGTTCATTACAAATACTTGCACTGTAAAAATGATAAACAAAAGAAATAGCATTTTTCAATTCACCTCACAGAAATACTGTAGTGCAATCTCTGTATCGTGAAAGTGTAATTTATAAATGTAGATTTAAAAAAAAAAAAAATTTGGTTACTGCACTCAAAACCAAAACACAGTAAAGCTTTAGAGCCTACAAGTCCACTCAGTCCTACTTGTTCAGCCAATTGCTCAGACAAGCAAGTTTGTTTACTTTTGCAGGAGATAATTCTGCCTGCCTCTTGTTTACAATCTCACCTGAAAGTGAGAACAGATGTTCACATGGCACTTTTGTAGCAGACATAGCAAGGTATTTACATGCCAGATACGCTAAACATTTGTATGCCTCTTCATGCTTTAGCCACCATTCCAGAGGACATGCTTCCATGCTGATAGCGCTCGTTTTAAAAAAAAATGTGTAATAAAATTTGTGACTGAACTCTTTGGGGGAGAATTGTATGCCTACTGCTCTGTGTTTTACCTGCATCCTGCCATATATTTCATGTTATAGCAGCCTCAGATGATGACTCAGCACATCTTCATTTTAAGAACATTTTCACTGCAGATTTGACAAAACGCAAAGAAGGTACCAGTGTGAGATTTCTAAAGATAGGTCAAGTGCTGTAGCTAAGAATCTGAAGTGCCTTCCAAAATCTGATCAGGACAGGGTGTGGAGCATGCTTTCGGAAGTCTTAAAAGAGCAACAACTCGGTTTCAGAAACTACAGAAGCTGAACCACCAAAAAAGAAAATCAACCTGCTGCTGGTGGCATCTGACTGAGAAGATGTAAATGAACATGTGTTTGTCTGCACTGCTTTGGATAGTTATCGAGCAGAACCCATCCTCAGCATGGACGCATGTCCTCTGGACTGGTGGTTGAAGTATGAAGGAACATATGAATCTTTAGTGCATATGGCATGTAAATATCTTGCGACACCGGCTACAACAGTGCCACCCGAAAACCTCTTCTCATTTTCATGAGAAAGTGTAAACAAGAAGCGGGTAGCATTATCTTCTGCAAATGTAACCAAACTTGTTTGTCTGAGTGATTGGCTGAACCAGAAGTAGGACTGACTGGACTTGTTGGCTCTAAAGTTTTACATAGTTTTATTTTTTGAATGCAGTTATTTTTTGTACGTAATTCTACATTAGTAAGTTCAACTTTCATGATAAAGAGATTGCACTACAATACTTGTATTAGATGAATTGAAAAATATGATTTTATTTTTACAGTGCAAATATTTATAATAAAAATTAAATATAAAGTAATCATGGTACACTTTGTATTATGTGCTCTAACTGAAATCAATGTTTGAAAATGTGGAAAATACCCAAAATATTTATATAAATAGTATTCTCATAGGTTTGACAATGCAATTAATCACGATTAATTTTTTTAATCGTTTGACATTTAAAAAGACTACCTATTCAGGCCCTGGAACCCAACCCTGTTCCCATTGAAGTCAATGCTAAAACTCCCATTGGCTTCAATGTAAATAGTTTAGACCCTTAATAGGGACTTATCTTAAATAGTTACGTGTACTAAATATTTTGTGTGATGTGATTTTCCCCCCTCCCCCTGTTTTAAGCAGAAAAGCAAACCACTTCAGAAGGGCAGAAACCAGTACAGTGTGGAACTTGGACAAAATATGCAGAAGGAGGCATCTTCACTTCTCCCAATTACCCCAACAAGTATCCTCCTGACAGAGAGTGCATCTACATTATAGAAGGTGACCAGCCAGTGACTCCCATTCTTCTGAGATTAACTGGGTTTCTCACAAATAATGTCTTTCATCTCATATGTGTCCTGGGAATTTGTGTATGGTGATTCAAATATTGGAAAATATGTCTGATAGTTTGGTCAAATGGGAGACAGGATTTAGAGAAGCAATTTCTTGACATCTTAAATGATTGCTTTGTAGGAAAGGTACTTGTAGTGCACACAAGTGGAGTCTTGACTAATTCTGAAGCAACACACAGTTATCTATGGATAACTCACTAGCGAATAACAACTACAATGTAATTATGTAAACTCACTTGGGGGACTGACTGTATCTAAAATTGGTACCATAACATTAAACTTTTTAAAGGATTTTTTTTAAAAAAAGAGAACAAGTAAAAAACCCTAGAATAAAAAAGCATCATGGAAGCTTCTTAAACATACTATAACTGAATCCTAGAAGGTATGCATAAAAAGGGAAGCAAGAGGGCAAGATTCAAAACCAACCCAGCGCAGCTGAACAAAAAAGTGTGTGTGTGTGAATGGAGCTTATTCAACCCAAACAAGAGTCTGTAATTAAAAAAGAATTAATAATAAAAGTAAAGTGATTCCAATAAAAAGGACTATACCCTATGGCAGGTAAAATGGGATTTAGAAGAATGAAGAGCCAAAAGTATCAAAACAACTAAGAAATTATGTAAGTACAGTAGAAGCAGGAAGCTTCAAAGAAAGCAATTAAGGACATTACACACAAGCTACATGATTTCTTTCCTTTGCAGTACAGATTGATGAACATTGAGGAGATGCTTGAAAAGATGAGGTCTGGGGAAGGTAATAAAGATTGAGGTACTGTCAGAGTTTACAGTGTCAAAAAAGGTGGGTGCAGGAACAAACTAACAAGTCATAAGGACCAGATGCAATTCATGTAAGAGTTGGGAAGGCAATCAAGCTGCTCCAGTGATAATGGTTCTATGCCTATCTAGATAAGAATGAAGTAACTGAGGGCCAGATAGGTGTCTAGTGAGATTTTCAAAACCACCTAGGATACCATTGATTTCAATGGGGTTAAGCACCTGTCTGCAGATTTAGGCACCTAAATACTTTCAAAAATTTGGCCCAGAGTTGCTAACAGTATGCTATCTTATAAAAATCTGCTACCATACCAGGAGACTGAAGGGCAGCAAATGTTGTATCAATCTTTTTATATTGGAAAAATAAGTGAGACAAGGTGCGAGAGATAATATCTTTTATTGGCCCAACTCCTGTTGATGTAAGAGACAAGCTTTTGAGTTTTCATAGAACTCTTCTTAAACCATGTGGTAGAGAGGGTCTTGGGAGCTCCAGACTACTGAGCTTTACTTTACCAGGGAAATTGATTAAAACAAGAATTAGAGAGAATTATAAAATGGCAAGATGAATATGATATGGGGATAAACAAGCACGACTTCTATAAAGGAAAACCGGGCTTCTCCAGTCAACTAGAATTCTTCCTGCTCAAGAATCTGTTAAGGAAACTAAGCAGTCATGAGGTAATAGGTTAAATTCTGTCAGGGATTAGAAATTGGCTAATAGAAAAACACAAACGTAGGTCAGTTTTGAACATGAAAAGGTTATTTAACTTATTTCTGTTACTGTGATACTTATGCTCCTAGAATCTGAGCTTCTTGCACACATTAATGAATGTATCCTCACAACATCCTTTTGAGGTTTCTTATCCCCATTGGACAGGAGATGAATGGAGGCACAGTGATATTTCTCAGAGTTACAGAGGAAGCTTGTGGAAGAGATGAGAACAAAGCTCTAGTCTGGTGCCTTACCACAAGACTATTTTTTTTTCTCTGAACAATGGGGTACCCAAAGGATCGGCTATTGTTTTTTGAATATATTCATGAATGATCTGAAAAATGGGAGTGGACAGTACTGTGACAAAATATGCAGTTTACGTAAAATGATTTAGGACAGTCAAAATTGCAGAAATATGTGTGGAATTTGAGAAACATATAACTAAGATAGGCAAATAGGTTGCAAGATGCAGATGAAATTCTATGTTGACAGATACACTGTACATTGCATTGTAAGGAATAATTTGAACTCCTACACATTATTGTGTTATAAATTAGTGGTAGCTAACTAACAAAACAAAACACAAACCTAGGTGTTCTTGTATACAGCACACTTAAGTTCTCTGCTTAATGAGCAACTGCTGGTTTTTATTTAAAAACTTGAATATTAGGATGTACATGGAATGAGATTAAAAAAAATTGCTGAAGCCTTATGATGATATTATGGAATATGATTGTAAGCACTCCCCTTCAATGCTGTGGTCAGTCCTGGTCTCTCTCTCTCTCTCTCTCTCTCTCTCTCAGTCTTAAAAATAAAGAGGCAGGACAAGAACAGGTCAACTGGTGGGCACCACAATGAATAGAGGTGTGGTAAAGTTTCAAAATAAGAGAAACTGAAAAAATTGTAATTGCTTACAGAAGAAACAAATAAATGGGGACAGGATAGAGCTCTCTAAAATAAAGGCACAGAAAAAATAAATTGGGTGTTCCTTTTTTTACAAGACATAAGTATGACAGTCAAAGAAATTGAAAGAATACTTTTAAGTATCATATTACTCTGTGGAACTCATTGTCACAAGATATTGAGGTTGAGGGTTTTCAAAACAAAGATTAGACACTGATATGGATAAGAACAGTTAAAGTTACATACAGTACATATTAGAGACAAGGTGGACAAGGTAATATCTTTTAATTTTGTCTCTAATATCCTGGGACCAGCATGGTTACAAAAACACTGCGAATAAGCGGTATGTGTGTATTTTAAATGAAGGATGAATGACTGGTAAATTTGATAATGCCATTTAACCCACATCATAAAGATGTGACTGTCTATTCTGTGGAAAAAGAAAAGGAGTACTTGCGGCACCTTAGAGACTAACAAATTTATTTGAGCATAAGTTTTCGTGAGCTACAGTGAACCTCACGAAAGTTTATGCTCAAATAAATTTGTTAGTCTCTAAGGTGCCACAAGTACTCCTTTTCTTTTTGTGGATACAGACTAACACGGCTACTACTCTGAAACCTGTTATTCTGTGGAAGTCTCTCTCAAACTTAACAAATAGGACATAGTAACGTAGAATTCCTAGATCAGACCACTGATCCATCAAATTTGGTATCTTGTCTTCAACAGCAGCAACTACCAGAAACTTCAGACAACAGTGCTAGAATCCCTATAATGAACAGCAAGGAATAAGGTGCACATGGGGGAAGTTTCAAGCTAATTTCTATCTCTGTATATGGTTTACGCCTTTGTATTCAAAGCCTTTATATGCCTTATACATTGTTATCCTATTGTATGTAATCTGTGACAATGAGTTTCACAGAATAATATATTTAAAAGTATTCTTTCAGTTCCAATATAATATAATGAAAACACACAATAGGGCAATAAAAACAATAATAGCAGAAATCCTGAAGTCCCTACTGAGGCAAAATTTCCACTGACTTTAATGGGACTGAGTAAGAGCTTCAGAATTTGTCCTGTCGTACTGAAATAGTAATTTATTTTGCTATAAAATAGTTTCAAAATATTGTAGCTCATGTTAAATATATATCACTCTTTTAGCATTTTAAAATTGCTTTAATAAAGAATAGGTGTCCACAATAGGTGCTATGATCATTGTCTAAAGTACCTAAATGGGGGGAGGGAGGGGATTCTGTTAGCAGATGATTCTTTAATCTAGCCTTCAAAGATGTAACAAGAGCCAACAGCCAGAAGCTGAAGCTACACGAATTCAGACTAGAAATAAGATGTAATTATTCTAACAGTCAGGATAATTAACCATTGGAACAACTAGGGATGTGGCGGTTTTTCCATTGCTAGAAATCTTTAAATCAAGATTGGATGTTTTCTAAAAGATATGTTCTAGATCAACTAGAAATTATGGGCTCGATGCAGGAATTCCAGCATGAGGTTCTATGACCTGTGTTATGGAAATCTGACTAGAAGATCAGACCAGTCCCATTTGGCCATAAAATCTGTTAATATGGGTGTGGTCTTGCCTTTTTTAGTGGGCAAAGAAAGTTGTGTGCTTTTTAATTTAATATTGGGACAGATCCTGCACGTGCATCACACATGCACAACTTCTGCTGGACAAAATTCACCGCTGGCATATTCAGGGTTAACTCCAGTAACTGCACTTGCTTTTGCCAGCAATGAATTTGTCCTGTTGATTTCAACAGGAATTGTGCACCTGGAGCACCTTCAAGAGCTAAGGCTTTTACTTGTGTTAAATATATTCTGAGAATGACACAGCCAAACATTATAAAATATATTTCAACTTTTGTGCTAGATGTGTAGAATCTTGTTACTTGCATATTTAGATCAATTCAATAATTATTCTCCAATTAAATGCATATTTATGAATATAAGGAGGGAGTGCCTGGGATCATTTTTATGAACTTGAGAAGAGTTGTCTATTAAATCTTCCAATTTATATATTTTTGGGTGTTAATATTGCCTGCCTGTTTCCTTTATAATCAATACAAAATGAACGGTAGATCTCTTGAAGGCCATCCATGTTTTCCCAATGATCATTAAGTTTCTTGTATACTCTTTCTCTGTATATAAATCTTGTAGGGCTGTCATATTTCACTATATTAAAAAAAACTGTCTGCTTGAGTAACAATATAAGTGGATTTACATAGTATATTTCATGGAGTTTCATGTTTTTATAATTTATTATCCAAAACAAGTAAAAGGATCTGAACAACTGGAGATACCAAGGATTTAAGCAAATCCATTAGTCCTGCAGCAACTCACATTTCTGAGAGGTAGATGTTTAGATCATTGTTTGGAAATGAGACAATCTGCTAAATGAAACAGAATTTTTTTTCTTAACGTTAGCTGTTAGTTACACAGACTTATAGGCTGCTCAGAATTAAAACCTTAATTGTGTGAGTTTTGCTGCAACTGTTAGAACTAGTTAGCAACCAATGTCTTTTTTTCCCCAGCAAATGTAAAATCTAAAGACAGCACTTGTGGAAGCTAATTAAATTAAAACGGTGACAAGACATTCAAGCATTAAGCAGTCTTTCCATGGTATTAAAGTCTCAGAAGAAAAATAATTAGAAGCTTAATAAAGAAGATTTTTAAGATTTGATGAGGCACCAGCAATGTGTTTACTCACATCCTTTGCCTAAACTGTAACTATAGGCCAAATTCCTGTGGCCATCAGTGGACTTTACACATGAGTGAGGATTTCAGGATTGACCGTCCCAGAAACGAGTACATTTTCCTGTACACTGTGAAGGAAAGTATAATTTAATAGTTGTGGTGGGCCTGCTTGAGAGCATTACTGTGTTGCTGTGCAGTAAGCTAGGGCACAGGAAGGGCCTCATAGAAAACTTGCTTGTTGTAAGCAAAGAGGAGGTTTGGTAGAAATCATACTCTTGTGTATTCAGTATTTAACCAGAAGCGAGGATTTGAGCTGTGGCTTTTTCAATCATCTATAGATATTTTCAGGAACATTTGGATCACTTTGTTGCTCAGATGAGATGTAGTCAGCTTGAAACTTTGATCTTTAAGTGTAAACACAGTATTCAAAAAAGGCAATGCAGTTTAGGGGCCAAATTGTTCTTGGCCTTTGTGCGTCTGGATAGGAGAATGGGGTATCCCCTTCCTATCTTGGGATACCCTCTGCAAGGATTAGGGATAATCACAGTCCTTACAGTTGGGGGAGCACAAAGTGCTGCATCCCAAACAGAGAGGGTGAGGCTGAAAGCTCTGTTCTTCTCTGTACTGGGCTGTCTAGTAGGCTAGGCATAATAGGAGTAGTAGACATTACAGCCTTAGAGCAGCCGGTGCATGTTCTGTACACAGGAGAACTCAGGGCAAGCACAATCCCGCCCTGAACACCCCAGGAGGCAATGGGGCCCTGCACAACCTCTACTCAGAGCTACGTACTCACATAAGCAAAACACTCTCAACTCAGTTTAAAAATAAATATAAGGAAAGGAAAATAAACAGTAGCAATATTGAAATCCTAAAACCAATATTGATATAAGGTTCAGAATGCTGTTGTACAGAATGAACTAAATTTTGCACTCCTTAGTTCAGCAGATGCCAATGGGAGTTTTAACGGAGTCAGGACTTCAGGTCTGATTCTCACTTACCTTTTACGCCACTCTTGCAGTGTAATTTACTTATCAATGACAAAGTGGTATAAAAAGGTCTTAGTGTAAGTCAGAATCCTCTTTGCAGTGTTTCTCACAATACATTTAATAATCCGTGGAAATCAAGCAACGTTTGGTCAAGCATTTGTTTGACTATGAGTCATCACTGGCAAGATTTCTCATAGGATGTATTGGCGTGATGGAGAGATAGGGTTTTCTAACACAGGCAGTTTAATTAAAAACAAACAATACATGAAATTAATGTCATGCTCCCAGAAGCAAAAGTGGAGGGCCCACCCAGAGCCAGATCCTTGTCTTCAGTGGCACTGACGATTAAGAAAATGATGTAGTTCAACCACAATCTATTGGACTTTATGTGCAAATTACTGGGTGAAATTCTCTTGTCTTTGTTATACAGGATCCCCACCGGCCATAAAAATCTCTGAATTTAGTATCTCTTTAATAGTCAAATCTTTGATTAAGTGATCATTTTAAAGTATCTTCAAGGTTTCCAGTAGCATATTGTTTGTTCTTTAATTAAGGAAATTAATTTTACTTGTTCTTTGGGTGGTTTCATAAATGATGTTTCCCGTATTTAATATTATGTTTCCAGTAAGATGGTAAAATCATTTAAGGCCAAATTTTGTTGTAGGATTTATACACAGGTCTCTCATTGACTTCAGTGCATCTGGAGACAGAATTTGTCCTTAGTGTCATATTCTAGTTCTGAAGAAGGAATTCCTCATCTTCATAAGCACTGAAGAAAAGTACATCTTCCTTAAGATGTCTGAGGAGAGATTTTCACCCATTAATTGGATTCCTTCAGAACTTCTCTGTGAACCAACTATTGCCAAATCATATTTTGCTTTTTGACATAGATGGTTTTCTTAGCTTACTTAAGAAATAGTGTTGGAAATGCTTTTTCATAGGGTAAGAATAGGTATGTAAGTTAATGTAGTGAAATTTAGTTAGGCTACTGAAGATGTCAGATAATTTTCAGAACCATTGATTAAGAAAAAAAGGTAATAGTGTATCGAAAAACTAGAATGTATACATTTATCAAAATTCTGAAAGTAAAAAAATTAGCAAGTTTTTAACTGCACAAATTTTGTTTTCTTTCCCCCTCTAGCTGCCCCTAGACAATGTATTGAGCTACACTTCGATGAAAAATATTCTGTAGAGCCTTCTTGGGAGTGTAAATTTGATCACATTGAAGTGCGAGATGGACCTTTTGGCTTTTCCCCAATCATTGGACGTTTCTGTGGACAGCAAAATCCACCTATGATAAAATCTAGTGGCAGATTCCTGTGGATTAAATTTTTTGCTGATGGTGAGCTGGAATCTATGGGTTTTTCTGCTCGATATAATTTCACACCTGGTGAGTACAAAGTGTTACACTTTTGGCAAAAGGTTTGATTTTTACAGCTTGCTTTGGTAGTAATGTAGAATTGTGCAGCACTTCAATATTTTTAATGGGAATATATTTTAATTTCAAAGAAAATATATTTTTTAATTTAAGCTCCTGATGCCCAGTTTGTTTATCCATTTTGCACAGCACACCCAGCTTTTTTCACACATCGAGCGGAGGGACTTGTGTAATTGTAAAAACACATTGTTTTCAACAGAGTTCTATTCTAGGAAATCATTTAAAATCCTTTATCAGGAAGTATATGGTTTATATTTGATTGTTACGCTGTGTAGTTTTTCCTTCAAAGTGATCAGCAATACAAAGTATTTTAATAATAATTAAAAAAAGGAATTCTAAGAAAATTACATCACTGCTTTTTCGCTTTGCTCTATTAGAGAGGGATTATCCTATACCTGTGCTCATTAGGGGAGATAACTGGCAAACTGCTGCATGTATTCCAAAAGGAAGCTTGAGATCCAAAGAATAATGTGTTCAGCTAAGTGTTCCAGTGAAAGATGTTTCCAAATCTCATTTGCAGTTGTACAATTACACTTTCTTTATCAATTTGTCTGTTTAATTTATTAGAGTAAAATCAAAATTTCTAGTCATACTTCCAGCTAAATGTTTCCTCAGATCATTACAATAAAAAAGTTATTTATTTTATTTTTGGCTTCAGTAACACTACGCTGCAGTCTTGAGGATTTCATGGCATTCTATAGGGTCTCTGACATACGGAGCAATGACTCATGTTTTAATATAGCTTGCTCAGAGGGGTTGTACTTGTAATTATTTATGTAATTTTGTCAATTACGTAACCAATGTTTCAGTTAACTTGTATTGGGTACAGTAATGTTCTTTTAGAACATGAGCAAAAATCAGTCAGACACAAATCCTGCTTGCTTCCTTATTCCAGTGGTACCACAGAAGTTAATAGGACTACCTGTGTGTAACTAAAGCAAGCAGGAATTAACCTCAAAGGGCTCTACACAGCTTTATTTATCTGAAACAAGTACAAGAGATAACATAAAATTAACAATTGGGTTTCAACTAGATATTAAGCTGAAGGATATTGTCTCTTGAAGGGGAAAGTGTACCTATAGGTCGGACATGCATTTCACATATACAATAGCAGAACTTCTTACTGATGTCTGTGGGAAATTCTTCAGTAAGCTGGTGGGCATATATATATATATATATATACTTTGTTTTTCTATAAACAATTGTGAATGGACAGAACAATATTCCTTGGGTGAAATTTTACTGAAGAGCCACATGTGCTTACCTCTTAAAAATTGGATTAGCTGTGATCTGTCAGTAACAGAGGCTCCGTGGGCTTCACCATATTCCCTCACCTCCCTGCCTCAGAAAAAGTACTTAATTCTAGATCTCCATATCCCTCATATTTCAAAGGAGCTATGGTGCTTTGGTCGAAATGGACGGTGTTAGCACAATCCACAACTTTATTCCATCTAAAAACTTCCCAACTGAAAAAAACAATTTCTGCTACCATGTTCTATTCCTCATTCCTCTTCCGCTGATGTGAGTTTTTTTCTGACTCAAGATCAATGCCAGTAAATTGCTGTAGCAGCATAAATTACTCCAGACTTCAGGTGGAATAGCTCTTTTTTGAAAGCATCCTATATGAGGACTTGGAAAAAAATAAGTGAGTCTAGGAATACAGGCCATAAATAAAAGTATAATTCACCCAGACACAATTCAGAGTAGTGTTGTCTTCCTTACCTTTGATTTGTGTATTGTGAAGGTCAGTGATAGTTAGATCCATAGCCAGTTATAACTTTAAAAAGAGTGGGATGTAGGGGTTCCCACTCCTGTCTCCCTAGATAAAGGCAAAGCTACATCTGTGGATGATTATATAAAATCAGGTCTTCCTCATGTTGTTAGCGGAGGACTGGAATTGAGGAGGGGAAGCAGAGAGAAGCTCATCAGGAACACAGGAGACATACGAATGAGGATCATAGGTCCTCTATTACCAACTTGGAGAGGTGATGAGGGTGGGATAATACTCTGCAAAGGTCTGGCTTCCATGAAAGGTGATATTTCTCCTCTTCCCCACTTCTGATGTTTGTGTGCGTGCGGGATCAGGGCTGGATTTCTCAAGATCTGTAGCCTAAATGTGTGGGTGGGGTGTGGGGAGAGGCAATTGGCAGCCCGGCCATAAAACTGACAATCCCAAGGGGAGTGTTAAAGAGGAGCAAAGGGAGGAGTGGCTGGCTCATGTGCCTCTGTAAATTGAACACCTGACCCTTTAATGTCACTGAAATTATACTCATCCTGGGCCATAACTGTCTCTGATACTCACTTTTTTTTTTTTTTTTTTACAAAGTAAGGATCAAGGGAAAACTGACAACAAGGCTTGCGAACAAATCAGCAGAAAACAAAGAGATTTAAACAGAGAGACACTTGGAAAACATTGATACATAAAGAGATGTAGGGGTTATAATGGACAGAAAATTAGATTGGAACTTGCATTATGGTTTGGTGGCAAATGCAATAGATACAATCAGAGCTTTCAATGCAGAGGCTTCACGTGATAATGGGAGACTAAAATGCCTCTTTGCGTCTGGATTGTCTCTAGAATACTGCATTCAGTGCTGGGCATCTCAGTACCAAAACAATGCAGACAAATTTGAGGGGCATTTAGAGAACAAAAACAAAGGTAATTATAACGGAGATACTGATTTATAAAGAAAGATTGAAAGAAAGAATGTGTATAACTTGGCTAAATAATGACTCAACAGAAAACACAACTGTTTATAATTACTTGAAAGTTGTATGCATGAGGAGGGAGAGGAATCCTTTAGGTTGTCTAAAGGGTGTATAACTAGGCCAAAAGGGATGAAGCTAAGGAAAGAGAAATAAGGCTGAATATCAGAACAAACAAACTTCCTAATGGTAAAATCTATTAGTCTGGGGAAATTAAGAAGCCCCATTAGTTGAGATATTTTAAATCTAGGTTGGATGAAGTACTAGAAAGGAAATGGTATAGAACAATCCTGGCAGAGGGATAGTTTAATAATTTGCAAGTATTGGACCTTTCCTGTCTTCAACTGCTTTGATTCAAGAGAGAGAGCTGCCCAGGAGGTATTTGGAAACCTAAAATTTTGCACACAGACTCTGCTGTATCTATTTAATGTAAAGGTTCCAGTGCAAACTTCAGAAGTCTCTTGTGGATTTTATTCATTAACAGTTGTGGGGTGGTTTTTGTGTGGGGACAGGGTATTCTGGCATCTCATGACAAATGAGACCATTGTCATACTATTTAAATGGAACTGTGGCTATTTTCTTCTAATTTATACTCTGAAATTACAAGTATAATGTAAAACTTTCAGAATGAATAAACTCAGAAACAAACACACTACAAATATGATTGGGTACACACAAACGTACCTATCTCTTTCTCACTAATAACTGGGAGAACTATTTCAAATGACTGAACTTTGCAAATAAATCTTTTCTAAAAAATAGTAGTAAAGCAAAATGTGGATTCATGAAGTCATATGTACACATGCCTAGTTTATTTCTTTGTTTTTTACTTTTGAAATTTCAGCTATTTGGGCTGAAAAAAATAGTTACACCGATTTTTTTGTTAAATGTTTTATGACTAAATACTTGAGAATGCAAGATGATTATACAAACGTTGAAGCATTCTGAGATGTGTAAGGTATATTTTTTTAAATAAATGTACCCATTCACCACCCTTTCAATTTTATTTTTTAATTCTCTAGCTGCTTTAGTTGAGGCCTACATGGAGCTCTGTGAATCTGTGGAGTTCTTCCTAATCCACAAACCAGTGTTTTTACTCTTTAAAATGTTTTTTTGTTTGCAAAATTTTCATGAAAATGGAATAATAAATGTACTCCATTTTTAGAGCCCTGAGCATTTTGAAGCTGCTGTTGTCTGGCACATTTTGATCTTAAACCATGTTGGCTGGAAAGGTGTCTCAACTTGTGCATATGTTTTTGGTGTCTCAACTTGTGCGTATGCCAGGGAGGATCACCCTGTACAGACTACCCGCTGATTTCTTAAAGGGTGGTATTTTAACATGGTCAGACAATCACTGACTCCTCCCATCTATGGCTCCCCTTGTACTATCAGAGCCTTTTCCTCCTTCCCTGTAGTATACTTTTCTGAAATTCGCAAAAAGAAAAGGAGTACTTGTGGCACCTTAGAGACTAACCAATTTATTTGAGCATAAGCTTTCATGAGCTACAGCCCACTTCATCGGATGCATACTGTGGAAAGTGTAGAAGATCTTTTTATACACACAAAGAATGAAAAAATACCTCCCCCCACCCTGCTCTCCTGCTGGTAATAGCTTATCTAAAGTGATCACTCTCCTTACAATGTGTATGATAATCAAGGTGGGCCATTTCCAGCACAAATCCAGGGTTTAACAAGAACGTCTGAGGGGGGGCGGGGGGTAGGAAAAAACAAGGGGAAATAGGTTACCTTGCATAATGACTAAGCCACTCCCAGTCTCTAAACCTGTTACTCTAAGGCTGTTACTCTGAAACCTTTTCTGAAATTCTCTCTCATCCGTCCTCTGTGTTCAGCTGCACCACACAGGCCCATTCTCCATCCTGACCTTGGAGCTGCTGTGGCTGCATTCCAGGTGTGCACACATGCACCTCTTTGGGCTTGTCTTGTTTAGAAAACTTATTACATTAAGACACATTAATAGCATGACGTTAACTGACTATTGTTGTCTACAATGAACAATTAGTTAGCTAACACCTGTTATAACACAATGCAATTTCCTAGTATAGACAAAGCCTCTGTGAGATCTGCAGCCTTCCTGACACTATAATATAGTTAATTTCACCAACCTAACCTTCCAACATCTCAGTTTCTTGCCCCAGTGCCCCCCCTCCCCACCCCCAGTATGGAATTATAGTTCTCACACTGTTCTCTTGGCCAAGGCTAAATACGTTGTGGCGGTGACTCCAGTG